ATACTATTAAGATCATCTATTAAACCTTTTGTGACATGAAAAAAGTTCAATTTTGTAGACCAGAGTTGTTATTTTAAATTCAAGCATGCTGTAAAAAGCACATCGACGACGTACCAACAAGAATAAAAATTGACATTGGAAAAATAGGGTTGAATCGTTGAACGCTTGGACGGTTTCCCGTTAAACGGTCATAGCTGCTGTTTTGCATAGCAAGGAGGGGCATCTAATCGCAATCGCGAGAGCGGGTAGCTACCCACTTTACGGGACACATGTGTAATCCCCAGAAATAGTTGTCCCCAAGTCGACCCAATTCGCTGACCTGTCTACCTGGCACCTCCCTACGTTTCGCTTAAAATGTGCACTGAAAATGTTTGCTTAATGGATTTTTGACCGTATACTTTCATTAACACAGCTCAAAGTAACTAGGAATCATCTTATAGATGAAACAGCGACTTGTGAACTAGATTATTACACCGTTCCCTAGTTACAAACAGGATATTATGATTTCTACTGCTATGTGACATAATAACTAGTTATTAAATCCTTTTGTTCGTTATTTTTTGTGTTTTCCTCAAATATCTTAGAAATATTAGATTGTCTAAATAGTTTATTTTGATTTGAAAATTGTAACACAATATTCATGTTTATAGAAAATAACCTTTAAAATTGGGAAGAAAATATGTGCTTTGTTAAATATCTTAAAATCTAATAGAAATAGGATAACTGTTAGATATGCTGCATGAAAAGTTAACCGAAGCTGCTGTACTTATTGATATCTTTATCAAATCGTTGTTACAACATAAAATACAGTTTTACTTCTCTTTTTATAAACTCTATAACATAAACTCAAACATAAATTTTCTTTTGTCTTCAGTAGTACTCCGATTGATCGCCCGATAGCCAGTATAAACGTGAATTCGGTCTTACCTTTTGAGAACCAATAATACAAGACTTATATAACATGACATAGATATACGTATTGTAATATTTCCTACTCTTGTGATTTATTTATAGTATTTTGTAACTACTGATACTCTTGAATATAATAATCTATAAAATCATGATCCTGTTAACTAGTAAAGACAAAACTACTCGCCGTTCGTGAGTAATTTCATCTACCACCAATTCTTTCCTTTTTATTTATTCAAACACTAATTCTAACATTTCATCGAATTATCATGTTCATATTATTATATGCTATACTATATCAACGTTCATCGGTACAAAACATGAAAACTAGAACTACCGAAGGCTTAATAATTAATAAATAATCCTTATAAAAATTGTGATAACGGATTTTTTTCGATTTCTTCACATATTGATTATAATATTCAAGTGAAACTATTTATTTTTAAAATCATTTCGAATATTCAACACACTTAAGATATCAGTAATTGAAAAATAAGAAAGCTAAGACTTATCAGTTTTCTAGAGTATTTTTTCTTCAACAAGTATTGATCAGAGTGCCATTCCCTCAACAGGTTAAATCACATTTTCATTTGATGAAAAAGTAATTCACATTTTGTGAATAAGATGTTTATCATTTAACAGCACCAGTAACATTTTTGCATGCAAACAAACCACCGAACTCTTTATTGGATTTCTGATTATTTCTCACTTGAGTTTTTCTTCTTCGCCCGCTTACGTTCGCGTCACCATTACTTATCTATTATCACTGGATCTCCAGAGAGATTGGTGCAAGCAGCATTACTTTTCCCTATTTGTAAGTGGAACTAATGCATTTGGAACTCGAAGGGTCTTCCTTTAACACGTTCCACGCCAGTCTTAAAATATTAAGTTCTATTTAATTTTTTATTGACTTTTATTTATTTTGATACCATTATTTTACGTTCTCGCTGCTTTGCAACGTATACTGCTATCTGTGGCCACATGTCTCGGGAAAATATTTTCTTACAAAAATTATACCAACAATGGTAAATACACGTGCTACTGGACATGTTAACCCGTAAACTACCGAACCTTTCTTCATTTCACTTTGGGACGAAAGTAACGTTTTCAAATTTTTCCAATATTTTCGGACAATACTTTCGTTTTGAGAAAGTAAGAGTTGTCGTCAGCAAACGAGAATTATCATTTCTCGATGCGAACGTGTTAAGATACTAAATTATATATTATATTACATATTCATTACAAGAATAATTATTGCAGTTTTAATACACATATGTTGAAATATTTTGATATCATTAAAATATCCTATCTCATAAAGAAGTTTTAACAAAAATTTCCCGATGCGAATGTGTTAAGTTAAAATGGATAATCAGGCGTAAATTGTAACAAAATGCTTCAATGATGGAATAATCCTTATCTCTGAATGAAATAACTGATTTATTTCATAAAATAGACACCAATTACCATCAGAGTAGATCATAATACACTTTAAGCAGTTTGTTTGCCCATGTGAAATTTTTTATTACGGTCTGGGATTATCCCTTAGGTAGTCTAAAGGTTAAGTTAGAAAATACCCTAAGATTTCTATATGTAGTCTATAATTGGACTTTCGCCATCTGAGTGTTTCACTTACAAGAGATAATAGAAAAATATGAACTTTGGGTAAAACAATTATCTTTTACGAGCCCGTAGAGATACCTGTGTCAAGTATAATCAGTGGATATATGGTTAGTAAGGGTAGAAATCGGACGCACTGGTCTGCTATCTCAATTGGCGCCAGTCACGCATTTAAAAGAATTCATAGTCGGAGAAAATTATATTTTTATTTATAATAAATAAAAACTTTTGTTTCTCTTTGATAAATAATGTTTGAAAAGAATTGTTTTTAAGGGTTGCTTTTAGAAAATTTGCTAAGAATATACAACTTTGTTTATCTCTGTTAATATTCACAATTGGTATTTTGTTTATACCATAGTATTTACTTAATAATATATTACCGACCTTTTGGTTAAAATTATTTAACGTAACATTTATGTTTTGTATAATAAACAATGATTTCACTAGAATAATATTACTCTTCTTATTTTTAAATTTGTAAATTGTAAATAATTTGACAAATTTTGTAATTTATTCTAATAAGTTTATAACAAAAAATACGAATTTATTTTTAAAGTATTCATAAAAAGGGTCTTTATTGTTGATTATATAACAGCGCCATCTGTGAAAGTTTAAAATTTTCTACATTTACTATTCTTTTTTATTTCTTCCTTACCTTCCAATACACTTTATGGAACATATTTTCTACCGTTACCCTTGGGAAAAATTTTCACACCGCAAACACGACATGCGCAGCTATAAAAAAATGCACGTTGAATATTTTCCAATGTTCTACACGCGTGCGATTGCTGTCAAATGTCAAAGTTTCAACAAAACGTTGGATGATGTCCTTTGTCGATGTTGCCATCAGAAAAATTTCCATCCTTCGAATATTCCTGAAATTCAACGGTATCTCATTTCTTATCATCAAAATCACACTCGCGCTTCTAACAATACTACATGCAACATCATAGATAACGAACCATAATTCATCCACAAACATTATCCCATAATAAAGTCACTCAACCGAGAAAAGTATTCCAAAAGAACAAATACCAAACTAAATAGTAATGGCGACACAAGAATTCTGCGCAATTAACCCCAACAAAAAATAAATACCCACTTAACACATTCCGTACCACCGGAAATTTTGGTCATATCTTGTTTACAAAGTGCGCTAATTTTTTAAATGATATATTACGTTACATTCAAGCTTTTACTGACTTTTATATATATTTTTATATTATCTATTTGCGTTTTCGTAGCTTCGCGACGTGTATCGCTATTTTTTACCACATGTCTCACAAAAATTTGTCCTTACAAACATTGCAGGTGTACCACTAACGGTACACGTGGCACGACACAAGGAAAATGGAAAAAACACTGAGAACATCCAAGTAAAAGTACAATTTCCTACAACGTCCATCATCGCCAAACAAAGAACATAAAAATTCTCGATTGAAGGATTCCAATAAAAGGAAAAATGAAAAAAACAGCAACACGTGAAACCCAAAGAATTCCTTTTGAAACTCAAGCGTTCCCGCGCGATTAGCTCCGCTCTCCCTGATCCCCTCGCGTTACCCTTCAGCCCTGTTCTTCACCTATCAATATCTTTATCGCGAACGTTCCCTGCCATCGTTGCCCTGTATCTCTATGAAACCATACCTTTCCTCTTTTTGCTTCGTCGCAATCTATCCTCCCTTTTCCATATCATTGGCTCCATCTTCCTCCCACTCGTGTCCTCTCCCTCCAGTCCACACCGTTTTTCTCTCTTTCTCTCTCTCTGTCTCTCTTGCCAGTACTCTATCCTCTACCAGCGGTTCCTCGGTCTCTGTCGGTGCCATTGAAAGCACCGCAACACGTTATGTCTAAACGCCAGTGAATAAAAGCTCGAAGCCAGCGAAGTGAGTATACGCTCCGTCACTTCTAATTTTAGCACAAAGGGTGCGGCGGGCCTGTGTATACGTTTTCGCGCGAACGCCGGTGTCCGTGTGCCGCTACACGTTCCTGTGCACGTGCACGTGTGTGTATGGGGGTTGTGTGCGCGCGAGTGCGCCCGCTCCGCAGAGCCCATCGTGATAAAAGCAATCGAGGGGGTAAAATATATCTACCTATGGATTTCCACGAACACTGTGCCAGGCCATTTTTATAGTGTCTCTCCTTTGCCTTCTTTCCCGACGACGGCGGCCCTAGGACCGAGGCCGGCCCCCCGATTGAAATACGATTTCCGTCTGGCTGCGTATTGGCGGAACGCAGTCCGCTGCCGCGCCGCGCCGCGCCGTTCGTTCGGTCCGCCAGAGAAAATTGAAGTTTTTCGTGGTATCGCCACCGCCGCCGATGAAAAGTTCATGCGCCGAAGCGGTCACCTATTAGCAGAGTTAATGCGGCGTTAAAGTGTAACCCCTGGGCGGAGGACTGGGCCTGAGTGAGCCAAGACCTTACGGTCGCTGCCACCGTTTGTTCCAGTGACGATCTTCTCGGTTGTAGTCTTGTTAACACTAAGTTTGCGGACTCTCATTGTGCAGCTTGTTCTATTGTTCCTAGAAGAATTGGTGTTCGTTTATTTAGATCTTGAAAACCGGAGATTGAGAGATAAGGAATTAAGATATACACTTGTGTCATTGCGTCAATCGAAATGAAGTTAGTCATTGAGCAAATAACGTTTATAAAATTAAGTGTGCCTTAAATGGACGCGTTCTGTAAACCTATGTAGTATTAACTACTTGCCCTGTGATTTTTTTCGTAACTGCACTCGTTGGAACTGTTCTATCATTAATACTGGAACAACCGCACTTGTTAGAATGAGGGGTTTCAGTTTTCAAAAAATGCTCGTCCACAAAGGGTTAATCATGATAAACGCTTGATTGTTCTAGTGTTAACTAGTTATCGTTAATTTGAAATCACGGTTTCGCTTACCTGGTTGTTAATACTGTTAGTAACATGTATTTGAAATGTATTTGAGTAATTAAAATATAATAGAAATCTTGATAATTATTATGATCTACGTAGAATAAATGACACAGAAGGCTACATATATAGGGGATTTTAATATTATAAGATATTTCACAGTTTACAGTTGTGGTATTATCATTTGTCAGTCATACGTGGGAAAGATACATACTTCTTAAGAACTGCTCGATGTTTGCTTAGTTTATGTATTTCTTTGATAATTCTCTACTTGTATAAGTTCTACATATAGTACGATAGTTATTATTATTATTATCATCAATTATTTGTAGAATGATTATTATCTATATAAATTTAAACATTTTAAATCTATGTAAATAGCGTTACGATTTTCATACATTTCAAATGTTTCTACTATTAATAATTATTAATTGTTACCTGCATAAATTTTAACACTTTTAATTTTATGTAAGTAAAGTTACTTCAATATAAGTTCAAAATATATTCAATGTTTATTTTATCTTTTAGTAAGTGTTCATTCAGTTCACTGAAACGATTCGTATTACACAATAACATGAATATTGTAGCATTGTGGTATTTATCTCAGCGAACCTAAATTCAGCCATGAAGCAGTACAATATGATATTAAAATTATTTTCGTGTATATCTGTGAAACTACAGGTTAGCGACGGTATCCGCATACGTGAAATTGCCCAGGGCATTGAACTTAACCATATAACCCGGAATCACTGAATGTGATGGAACACAATCTGTTTTATATATTCACGGAAATTTTATTAACAAAATGGTCGCATTTTTATCTTATCTCATATTTTGCACGTTTCAAATATACTAGATCTGTATGATCAGCTGTCTAAAAGTCAAATATAGTACAGTATTGATTGCATCAACGCGTAATCGAATTCTAATGATTTGGTATAAGTACCAAGATAAAATTAAAAGAAAAAAAACTGTTCTTAAGGTGAAAGCATGGAAATAAAATAAATGGACCTTTTACGGACCAAGATTACAAAATAGAAATATTTTTCAAAACTTGAAAATTCGATATATAGTCCATTAACCCTTTGCGCTACGATTCATTTCTCTAGTATAATCTGTACAACTATTTTGTTATTAATAATTCATCAAAAAAAGATAAAAATTCTAGGTATACTTTATGCCTTTATGCCGTTTGCTCTAAAGTATAATAATTGATAATAGAAAAATAATATTTTACTTGAATTAGCAGGAATCGAGCAATATTTATGTTTGTTAAGTTCTGTTTAAAATCTTCACCGCGTGTCGGACACGTTATTATAGAGTAAGGGGTTACATTTGATATTCTTCCTCGTCTGATCATTGTCTTCTGTTTTTACTTAGTTTCAGTATTAACACATTCCTTATTCATTTTGTGAAATAGAAATAAAAGATACAAATATTTCAGTGAATTTCGTTTACTAAATGTCTTGATAACACATTTCAATCCTTTCAAAAATATTGTATTCTAATTATTTAAAGAAGACAGTATTGTTTTAACAAAACTCCAGGGTAACATGTAAATTAAATATAATATACTGTATATTGTAAAATATAATAACTTTTATTTTATAACCAACAATATTACTTAATATTATTTTACTATTAACTTAACTACGTAGTTACTTACCATACATACTATTTAATATCATTTTATTTTACAACCATAAACATATCAAATCTTTGATGACAAAACTGATTAAACATTTGTAATATAAATGCAACACATTTATTGCAAAACAAAAATTGCAATACTTATCACTTAATTTATATTTCCTTCTTAAGTTGCAAAAATCTTTTTTCAAAAGAAAGGTTTGTTATACCTTTTCTTAAAATTATATTAAATATCAATTTGTAAAATTGTCGAATGTCCTATATTCTTTTTTCATAAAATATGATCAGAGACGTGTGGAATACCCTACTTTCTAAATTAATTTCTACCTCCAAAATAGTCTCACATTAAAATTATGTCAATACATGTTTCTGATGCATTTTTGCACATAAAATCACTTTATTTCCAACTGTATCACCATCACGCCCACAAAGACTACATGTATAGGTATATAGGGTAGGCCGTAATTCGTCGGACAATCGTAAATTAGGAGATTCTACATGGCGAAACAAATTGGAAATGTACAATAAAATCTTGGTTGGAGATTCGTTCGAGATTCAAGGAAGCCGGATACGTACGTAATTTCGACAGATGTACGCGAACATATTTAAATTATGCATTATCAAGTATATGCACGCCTTTCCATCGATTTACACGGGGATACGACCCACGTAATTTTCTTTTACATTGCAGAAAATTGCAGAAAAGGATTCTATCGATACCAAAAAAAGCATGAAGTAAAGGCGTGACGTTAAACGAAAAAGAATGTCTAAATAAATATAACATACGTACGAAGATATTCAATAAACTGTAGTTTATAACCAATAAAATTGATCAACTCAGTTAAAGCAATACAAATAGCATAGTTAAATAAAACGTTTGTAGACACTTGTGTATTATAATGTGACCATGTAGGTACTTACATAAAGAAGAGAAAATACTGTTCGCGATATGAATTTAAGTTTAGTTTCAAGTTTAAAAAGCAGGATATTTCTATGTACTATTTAGTCGAAAGAATTTTATAAATTTTTATTATTTATATTTGTTATTCCAAAGAGTCTCCTATGTTTAGAAATAGTTTATATTGTTATCAAGAAGTCTATGGACTTTGCGTTATGAAAAAAATTAATTTTTAGTAAGAGTGCTTCAATGAAATAAAAATAAGAACATATGTCGTACAGATTAAAGGACTTAATACACACTTAGCCAACCGAGTGGGTAGATCTATTTTTTTCGACTGTTATTTAATAAGTCTTGAACTAGGGATATTTACAATTCAATAAATACCTCTCTTGCTTTTGTAAAACACAATTTTTATAAAATCTATTGAATGATTTGAATTAAAGTTAATGAAAAAGGGTATAGTTTTTTCAAACGGTTGAGTAAATATTAAAATAAAACTTGTACATAGAATAGTTCGACCAAATATAACATTACAGTGTTAAGACCGTCTGTTGACATCGAGCAACTAAATTGAGTCGATTAGATAGCCCCTCTTCAAAATGGGATTTATTGAAAACTTAGAAGTGACTATAACTCAGGCCCAAGGTCAAACAGTGATGCGTTCGCGTGACCACTTCTCGCGATCATTTTGTGTTGTAAAGTGATTGTCGAAAATATGCTGGCAGTTTACGAGACACCATCCTCTCTATGAAAAATAACTTTATTTTAGGATTAAAATGATGTCCAAATGATAGAAAAGCCAAAAAATTAAAAATAAATGTCATTTAACTTAAATAAACAAACATTTAAGTAAATGAATACATTAAATTGATATCTTCTATGGTTTTAAAAAGACCAGTTGTCACGCTTTTTATGACTTCATATATATGTTTTATACCTTCGTAATTATACTCTTAAGTAATTTCACACTTCATCAAAAGAATTTATAAACAGCGGATGTTTTTACAAATATTATTTAAATAAATGGAAGTTTCTAGAATCTGTTTATGCAGATTCATTCCTTATTAAAACCGTACATGGCTTTGACATGCTCAGTTTTCTTCTAGCTCCAGTAGATTTCAAGATATTGAACGAAACATCCTTCATCTCCTTTTTAAAGTTTCTTTTTATTTCTCCAGTGTAAATAATAGTCAAAAACAAAACTGGCTCATTAAATGTTCATAAGAACCATGTTTCAATAAATTTTCATCTAAATCACCGGATGTCACTTCACATTGTTCCTTTATCAATCCAATACTCTCAGAGCATCCATTTTCCGTAAAAAATTCACATTTTCCAACACTTTAATATGTCAACCAAGAAAGATTTCAGTCAAAAATATTATACAAGGCATAAGTAAGAATAAATAATAGCCATCTGAAGCAATTTATTTTACAACGAATATTATTACAATACAATTTCCATTCTCATAAATACTATAACATAATTCGATGAAAAAAGCTCTGAGTATATATTAAACTATTAGATACCGGAAAAAGTTTGTGTGATTTCAATGAATATTTCACCAGTTTAATTAATGAAATTAATATTAACAGCAAGTTATGTTTATACTGTTGGTATCAAATAAAATAAAATAGTTTTACAGAAACGTTCTCTGTGTTTAAATTTTGATTTAAGAACCCGTGCGGACTTTTTCCGGTAGCTAATAAAAATAAATGAAAACCAATCAATAAATATTAGATACCGGAAAAAAGATCATACGGTTCTTTTGCTAACAATTAATTGAGGTTCGACGTCAATTGGCAACGGTATAATGCGTCATTTGGAATGTAGCCTTCTAAGATGGTAATGGATGGAGCAAATTTTAGGTAAATTGAATTTTGTGCCATTGAAAATACAAAAGAACTTCAAGAAATTATTAACCCGTTACTTGTGGAACTTAGTTTTAAAAATCTATCATGGTGCGCTCAATAAAATCAAATAATGAAGTGTATACTCGATAAATGCAGACAATATGCACTTATATTATATTCTAACGAAAAACTAAAGCGCAACGAAGTAGAAATACATGTTTGTCTAAAA